GCCGCCCTCCCCACCTCCCCGCCCAGCCTCGGCACACCGGTCCAGACCCTAAAGGCCGGGACCCCGCGTTCGAGGCCGGCCAACCCCACCGCACTCCCCGCCGCCGCCTCCATCTCTCCGCCCCTACCCTCGCACGCACACCCCGAACTGAAGCCCGTCACCGCGTCCAGAAAAAAAAAACGCCGCAGTCACCGAGTGGAGGGGGGAAAAAAACCAAGAAGCCGAGCGAAGATGAGGGTCTTACCTTTAACAGATTAGACGTCGCCATGTTCCTTCAACTTGGACTCTCGCGAGACCCAGCGAGATTTCGCGGTGCTTTCCCCCCGCCCCCCCCTCCCGACTCGGCCGCGGCTGGAGGCCGGAATTCCCGGCAGGGCCTCGGGGCCGGGCCCGGCCCTCCCCTCCCCCGTCCCGGGGACCGCGGCTGGCTCGCTCGCCCGCCCGCCCCGCCCCCACTACATGGTCACCGCGGCTTCCCCGCTGCGCCGCAGACGCTCCGGGAGTTGGCCGCGGCGGACGGTGGGGAGGTGACGGGAGCCGACCTGACCGGGAACGGGAAGCATGGACTTCGCCCGTCCTCCCTCGCTCCTCCGGGCTCGCCTTTGTGGTTTGCCCCCGCCGCGGCCACCACAGAACGAATTTAGCTCGCTTTAGGCCCCGCTCGGGTTCCGCGGGCGCGTCACGTGACGCGGGGGGGCGGGGGCGCGCGGGCCGCGGGAGCGCGCCCCCTGCTGGCGGGACCCGGCTGCTCGCTCTGCGCTCCGGCCCCCAGCTCCAGCCTTGACGGAGTCCTGACAGCTGACACGCAGCCCTGTGGAATGCAGCGGGTGCACGCGTGCTAACTAATTAAACGTCTCTATTCCAGAAGGGCCCCGCACTTCCACCTATAAAAGATTGCTCAGAAAATGAATATTCATCCTGGATTTCCCGCCCCCCCAGGCCTCATCTCCTAGAATATTCTAAACCCTTGCCCCCACAAACCTCTGTATAAGGAAACGATGTAATTTGTTACAGAGGGAATCGACAAGGATATGTGCTATGGCATCCTGCAAGCTCCTCATGGTATGTGCAACCAAGTAAGAGATCTGAGCCGGCCAGGCACCAGTGGCATACTGTAATCCTAGCTATTCAGAAGGCTGAGGCCTGAAGGATCATGGTTGAAAGCCAGCCTGGGAAAAAAATGTCTGGAAGATTCCATCTCCAATTAACTAGCGCTTACCCCATCCTGAACTGGAGGCATGGCTCAAGTGGTAGAGTGCCAGCTGTGAGTGAAAAATCTAGCAACAGTCCAAGGCCCTGAGTCCAAGCCCTGTTACTCGAACTAAAATCAATTAAAAAATAAGAGCTCTGGAATGAAAGCTGGAAGAGAGATGATTTCTACTTAAGAAATTCTAGTAAGTAGTAGTTCTTTGAAGAATCTTATCCTCTTGCAGTTTTTGTTTTTGTGTCTGTACTGGGACTTGATTTAGAGCTTCGTGCTCTTGCTTGGCTTTTTCAACTCAAGACTGGCACTCTACCACTTGAACCACATCACCACTTCTGGATTTTTGCTGGTTAATTGGAGATAAGAGGCTCTTCAATTTATCTGGCTTTAAACCTTCATCATCAAGTCCTAGATAACCAGGATTATTGTTGGGAGCTACCAGCATCTGGTTCTTGGAGCTTTATGGAAGCCAAATATTAAACATGGCTGTATAATCAAGTAGTTATTTCTCCATATCTGCCAGTCCTACATCTAGATTTAATCAAGCTCAGATAGAAAATACTGGTTCACACCTGCAGTTCCACTTGGGAGACTGAGACAGGAGGATTGTGGGATTTAGGGTCAGCCTGGACTACAGAGTGAAACCTGTTGTCCCCCACAACAATGAACATTGCTTTTGTTTTGGGGGGGTGGGTGTTGTTTTGTTTTTTGTTTTGGTCAGTTGTAGGGTTTGAATTCAGGCCTGGGGCTGTCCCTGAGCTCTTCAGCTCATGGAGAGCACTCTACCACTTGAGCCACAGTGCCACTCCGTTTTTTTGGTGGTTTATTGGAGATAAGCGTCTCAAGGACTTCCCTTGCCTGGGCTGGCTTTGAACCTCGATCTTCAGATCTCAACCTCCTGAGTAGCTAAGATTACAGGTGTGAGCCACTGGCGCCTGGCTAAAAAAATGAGCATTTTTAAGAATGGAGGGAGGGTGAACTGGCCTGGAAGTGGCAGTGGAGAGGAAAGAAGACCCACATAAGAACTGAAGGCCCAGTGCTCCATGGGCATCCTATAACAGAGATACAGACAGCAGAGAAAGACCAAGTTTCACTTAGACCAAGAAAGGAGAGGGGAGTTTGCAGATGCAAGTGATGTTATGCAGCTTGTCCAGATGTTTAGAGGTTGGGAAGAACTGATATGGAATCCCCAGGGAAACGCTCCAAGGTGTCACTGATTGAAAGGTGTCCTAGGGATGGCCCAGTCTCCTTTGGGGAGTGCTAGAAGAAGGCCGAAGACTTGAGTTTGTCTTCACTGATGAAAAGGCAGATAATGTCTGATGCAGAACACACAGAGCTCAAGGCACTCAATCCAAAACCCACAAGATTCTTAGGATTTCTCCTTGTGTGCAGAACAGAATGTGCTTCATGGACTACTGGGAATTCTAGGAAACACACTTAAATGACTACTTTCAGGCCAGTCTACTGCAAGTTAGGATTATTGGCATGAGCCATTGGTGCCCAGTCTGTTTTGTTTTCTTTCTTGAGGTGATGAAGATGTTCTCAAATGGGTTGTGGTAATGGTTGTACAACTGAATGCACCAAAAACCCTTGAATTGGATGTTTTCAATGACAACATCACAAGTAAATGATGTCAATAAAGAAATACCTTGCTGCCCCACGTTTTTTTGTTTATTTGTTTTTGGATCTGATCATGGGGCCTGAACTCTGGGCCTGGGCGCTGTCCCTCAGCTCTTCAGCTCAAGGCTAGCATCTACCACTTGAGCCATAGTGCCACTTCCGGCTTTTTTCCTTTTGCTTATGTGGTGTTGAGGAATGGAACCCAGGGCTTCAGGCATGCAAGGCAAGCGCTCTACCACTGAGCCACCTTCCCAGCCCCTGCCCCACCTGTTTTATTACCAGCAATGAACTGTAGGGTGAAGTTCATCGAAACAGGTCTATATCTGTATAAAATATACCTTCATCAGACTCCTCCCCACTCTCCCTCATCCCCTCCCCCACTTTCCCTCAGCTCCTCCCCCTTCCCAAGCCAATTTCAACAGACTTTATTGTTCCATTCTCATCCATGTCCATAGCATATTTGGGCTATATTCACTCTCCTAAATCCTCTCCATTTGCCCTCCCCATTGCTTTCTTAAGCAATGCTAGCAGTGCAGTCATGTTACGTAAAAATAAAAACCACCTCATCTGCCCACCGTCCTTACTACACTGGGCACCGTGTACCATCTTTTGAGTGGGGACTATGTCCAGCACTGCTGCTGAGAAGGGTTGACCATTTACTAGAGCTCCGCTCCAGCTGGTCAGATGTTGCTGCTGATGGCTGGCAATCCCCAAGGGCTGTGTTCATCTTCTCTAGGTCCTTCTAAGCATTTTTCTCTGATGGAGACTCTTTCTGAGTCATTTCCATTTGAAGTGAACTACCAAAATAGCCAATATCAACTATTTGTTTCTGGCCAACTGTGGAGAACTTCTGGACAACTTGGTGGTAACCATAGTAAAAATAAAACAAAATAAGAAGGGGCATTTAGCAACTGTGTGCTCTACACTGTATAAACATCTTACGTGTACAACTCGTTGAATGTGCAGAGATATGAAAATTTTCTTGGGTGCTTTAACAAGCTCCACTAGAAATTTCATTAGTCTCTGGTAGGTGCAAGGCCAACTCATGACAGACAAATCAAGTAAAGAAAATCAGAGATTTAAAATTATCTTTAAGGCAGAGTACATGGCAATGATCCCTTTCTGTACCTCAAAAACTCTTCACAAAAATCTAAGATACTTGTTATTATTCATTTGGCAGCAAAAATATGACCTAGAGCCCGGTGCCGATGGCTCACGCCTGTAATCCTAACTACTCAGGAGGCTGAGATCTGAGGATCATGATTCAAAGCCAGCCCAGGAAGGAAAGTCCAAGAGACGCTTATCTCCAATTAACCACTAGAAAACTGGAAGTGGTGCTGTGGCTCAAGCAGTAGAGCACTTGCCTTGAGCTGAAGAGTGAAGGACAGCGCCAAGGCCCAGAGTTCAAGCCCCATGACCAACAAAAAAAAATAATAATAATTTTAATTATAGAGTTTTACCCTGAATTCCATTATAGCATTACATTTTATTTGTAATTTTTGTAAAGTATTTGTAACATTTGTAAAATGCAAATCTTGAATTCGTAATTATACTTCATTTGTGAACATATACAAGTTTCAGTTAAATAATTGCTTCGGTTTTAAAAGTGTCACTCAGGATGGACTGACAAAGATGGGTAATGGGGGGACTGGGAAGGTGGCTCAGTGGTAGAGTGGCTGCCTAGCATGCATGAGGCCCTGGCTTTGATTCCTTACCACCACATAAACAGAAAAAGCTGCAAGTGGTGCTGTGGCTCAAGTGGTAGAGCACTAGCCTTGAGTTAAAGAGACAGCACCCCAGGCTGAGAGTTCAGGCCCACAACGGACAAAAGAAAAAAAAAAAAGATGGATAATGGTTAACAATATCATGGCCTTTTTTTTGTGTGTGACAAGGCCTGAACTGGGAGCTTGGGTGCTATCCCTGGTGTCTTTTGCTCAAGGCTAGTGCTCTACATCTTTATAACACACTTCCACTTCCAGTTGTTTTCTTTTTTTGTTTGTTTTTGGTCGGTCATGGGGCTTGAACTCTGGGCTTGGGCACTGTCCCTCAGCTCTTAAGCTCAAGGCGAGTGCTCTACCGCTTGAGCCACAGTGCCACTTCTGGTTTTCTAATGATTTATTGGAGATAAGAGTCTCATGGACTTTCCTGCCCGGGCTGGCTTTGAACTACGATCCTGAGATCTCAGCCTCCTGAGTAGCTAGGATTACAGGCATGAGCCACAATGAGCTCCAATTCATTTTTTATCCATTATTTAAAATCAAACAATACATCTAAGAGTTTATTCCATATTTTACTTCCACTGGCTGTTTTTCTGGGGGGAAAAAACAAGAGATGATGATATCAAAAGATGTTTATTCTGCTATGAAATATATAAATTAAAATCAAGTATTGGAAACTCACATTCAACAGGATTAACTCAACAGAACAACAACCAATTAGTAGCCACATTCTGAATGTCACATGTTTAAGACAGTGTGTTAGACACTATTTAAAAAAAA